CCAATGTGGATGAACTTTCCCTATTTATGGCTTTCCTGAAAGGAACAATAATATTCCAGCCACATGTCACGTAAGCAATTTTTATATGTTACTTTTAAGCAAAGAAATTCTTGTTTTCTGTAAGATCCCCTGCTTAGAAAGCTGATATGGTCTTAAGCAGTTCTTTTTCAAAGTTAAATGTGCATAGGAATCACCTAGAGATCTTATTAAAATTCATATTTTGATTCAGTGAGTCTGGGGTGGGGCCCACGATTCTGCATGTATTCCCAGCCTCCATTTGATTTCAGTGCTTGTCCTTGGACCACACTTTAATTAGCAAGGTTATAAGGACTATATATTTCTGTTACTGCATCCCAGTCATCCAAGGTCTTATTGGATCAGCAAAATCAAGAATGAGAGCTGGTATTCAGGTGAGCATTCAAAGCTCTACTCCTTGACTGTGGTAACTTCAACCAGTTTATTTGTTTATTCAGTTTAGTAGGTTCTATAGAACTAGAGGTTACAATTTGAAATGGTCTTTGGCCGCTTATTCTTATCTTTCATCCATACTGGAAAATGGACTTTATTTTTAATGGGTTGTAGTGAAATCTGATTCAATAGCTACTCTCTCAGTGATATAGAACTACACTGAGCCACCAAGTGGGCCACAGTGGGGGGATGTGGGGGGAATAGGCTTTGGGGGAGAGAAAGACTAGGTTTGCATTCTAATTCCAGCACTGTTAGCAAGTCATTATAATACTCCTAATAGGAAATATACTTACATACAAATTACTAGTCTGAAGAATACTTAGAGGCTTCAGAACTTCAGATATATCACTGTTGAGCACTGATAATTTCACTACTTCATATATATTGAATGCTTGCCTAGATTCTACAGGTCCTTCCCCAGTGGGAGCTGACAGCTCAGGTAGGGAGCAGTGAGACAGATACGCTACTGAGTGCAGCACGAAGCAGTAGCAGAGCAGTGACAAGTGTGCCAGAGAGGAAAGGCTCCAGTGGTGGCTATTACTTAGTTCCGAGCAACCCGGGTTCTCATTTTAGTGTGACAAGGAGTGTTTTCATACCAAGGAGCCCAACCCATAGCCCAGGAAGCACCCAAGACCTATTCCTGAACCTGGTTATCTCTCTGGCTGTCCCACCTCCACATGGCCAACCTGTGTTGCTAGTCACTTTTTCTGATGTGTCCTCTCAGATTTAGCAAGGGGAACCTCCACACAACACAGGAGAAGTTCCAATAGGCACATCTGCAGGCTATGAGAACAAATTTATACATGAAATGTTAACCACAACACCTGGAATTTTCTTTAAAAGCTAATATAGCGTAATATGGAGAAAATACCTAAGCAGTGTTCTCTAACTCCCAAAATTGGAGATGACTGTGAACAGGACACTTGGAGAGACAAGTATAAAAGCTATAAGACAGAAAAGAGAAATGACAGCCATTCACAAGCAACTGTCAACACACAAGAAGCTATAAACATGAGTTTAGGAAAATTCACCCAGCCTTTCTTGTCTGCAGTGGTCAGGGAGGGCTGTGGGCAAGGGGGAGAGCATTGGGTGATGAGGAAGGGGATGGGGGAGGAAACTGTCAGGACACCTGGATTCAAGCGTCAGTTCTGCCGCTGACTTATGAGTGATCTTGTTTGTGTAAATCATTTACCCTCTTATATCATTTTCTTTATCTATGTAGTGGCTCTTGTGAACATATTCATCTCTTATATTTCTAAGAATATATGTAAAGCTGGTGGGATTTTGAGTGACAGAGCTGATGGAAAAGGAAGTCTTCCAGATGGAGAGAGTGACATTATTTAAGGAGCAAAAGGGAAAATAATACAAAATTTAAACACTGGACTCTTCACAATAAATCAGTAGACTCCATAAAATAATTGAAGGTGGTCTAAGCATTATTATCCATGTCTTCCCGTATTCAACTGTGACCTGCCTCTTTATACCCAGTGCTAGCATGATGCCTAATATGAAATTGGTGCTTAATGAATATTTATGAGAGGGAGGGGAAGGAAGAGAAATGGAAGGCTGGGAGGGAAGGAAGCAAGTTAGCTGGTTCAGGAAGTCTTCTCACAACAGGTGCCACATTTTGTGGCCTTTCATATCTGCAACAGTCTGTTTTAGAACAGAGCTGTTTACTTAGAATGCTTTTATTATAAACTATTTGTGCTCAAAGGGCTTCCAGCTGTGGTAGCTTTTAGAAGGTTCCTTTGTTGTGTGTACATAGTGTCATAACAGGTCATTTCTGGCCAGCAAGTCAATTTCATTGACTCAGATGGGGCCACTTTGTGGATGTGTGTGTCTGTTTCCTCCTTAATTTTTACTGCAGACAATAGATATTTTATGCCTGGAAAGACAATTCATTTATTCAACAGATGCTTATTAAACACCTCCCAAAAGCTAGGCATTGTGTGAAAACTTGGAATACAGAGGTATATAAATAATACAGACAAGTTCCCTGCCTTTATGATACTTACAGTGTCATGGGGGAAATCTCACATTAAATAAATAATTATATGGTAATTAATACTTGTGATAAATGTTTTGAAGGGAAAATTCAGAATGTTACGAAAGAAACCTAAACTAATTTGAAGGGGTGGGGTCAAGAAAGTAAAGTAAAATTAAAATTTTAATCATCTTGAATATTTCCCCATTTTAAATATAAATAGATAAAATTACTTTCCATAGATTGTTGATTATATTAGGGAGATCTAAATTTGTAAAGGTAGACTTGTCCACAGAGGCATAGAATCCTTAGAAATTCAGTCCTTCAATAAATTACTAAAAAGGGATACATTATTTACCCAAGAACACACAGCTTGCTTCTGGCAGAACTAGAACTTGAACACAGGTCTGCTAATTACTTCTCCTTATTGACTTCAAAAATAAAGACATTTGGTGAATATAGATCAGCCATGGCCAAGTCAACTATTAAGTGGCTACTCTGTCCAAACTTAGATATTGAGTGGGGGGAAGGAGTTTATAGAGTAACGAATTAAGCAAATACAAATATAAACAGAAATACACAAAATATGTCCTGTCAAACTGATTGTATTTTGTTATATTAAAACTGTAGCATATAGACTAAAGTGGGAAATACCCAGTTGGAGTTAGTAAAAATATATTTAAAGGAATATACTCCTATTTCTTTAAAACATAAACACTAACAACAAAGTACAAGTTTCCAAGTAGAAGTTTTGAAGATCCATTTTTATTCATATGTAGTATTCTCTGACATGTAAATTATTCTGGCTGCTTTGCAGCCTGAGTGGTTGGTCAGTGAGGTTAGGCATTGTTTCTGCTAGTTTGTGCCAACATATACATTTCCTAGCATACTCTTTCATCATAGATAACGTATCAGTTAGTTTCAGTGCAGCAACATCTAAATCTTCCTAATTTTTTATTTGAAAGATTGGGAATCAGTGAAATGTTACTACTCATACCAGTGATTATGGAATTAGTTGAATAATTGAAACTAAACAGAGTATGAGGCTTCAGGGAGAAGGACAGTCTTGAATAGTTATTAAAGAGAGCACGTAGGCCCGGCCGAGTGGCGCATTGGTTAGGAGTTGGCTTGGGACACCAGCTCTGAGAAGCAGGGTCCCGGTTCGGATCCCACATGGGCCAGTGACGCTGCGCCCTCTACAGCTAAGATGGTGAACAATAGCTTGTCCTGGAGCTGGGCTGCCGTGAGTTGCTGGCCATGGTGTAGGCTACAGTGGGGCTGGTCAGCAGCTGGCATGAGTTTTCGTGAGCTGCTGTGAGCCACCATGAGCGGGCCGTCCAATGGCCAGCGAGCAACTCCCTCACCCGGGAAGAGCACAATGAGCACAATACCAACATGGGCCAGTGAAGTGACATCCTCCACAACTAGACTGAAGAACCAAAGGACAGCAACTTGTCTGTTCCCCTTCCCCCGATTCCCCAACACTATTCCCCTCCCCCAATTTCCCAATTAAAAAAAAAAAACTTAAAAAAAAAAAAGCACCTAAAACAATGCTTAGCATACATGCAGCCTTGAGTAAGCATATATTGAATAGGGGAGACCAAAAGTTGCAAAGTATTAAGTTAAACCATATGATATTTCCATTTTTATAGATCAGAAACAGTCAAATATTGATGACTTTATATGATTCAGCTTATTACACAAAATGACCAAAAAAGGGAATCTATAGTCTAATGTCAAGAGGTGTGGATATTTATTAAATTTAAGTACATGTATATTGACTATACTCCGAATTTAACAAATGAGAAATTCTGGTAGTTGAATTAATTTTTATTTCATATGAAATAACAATTTAAATGTAGACAAATGGCATAATCACTTCAGAAGCTAAAAATACTCTAAAAGATCTTCAACTTAGAGAACTACTAAGTTATTCACACTTCATGAGTAAGAATGTTGTGAGGAAATACTAATTTGATGACCAAGCTTTAGTGATGTGGTGTGGGGTGGTGTGGGCTGAAGTTAACCATGGTATTTTGCTTTCAGACTCTTCTTGTGCTGGGCAGGGGGTTACTTCCTAGTCCTTTACTCTCTCACAGTCCTTGGTCCCAATGCTGACAATCTCCTAGTTTATTTTAGAAAAATCAGGAGAAAAGCGAAGGAAACTAATCATTGTGAAATGAACTGTCAGGTGCTTTGCTAGACAGTTTATATATTATTGCATTTAATTCTCACAACCCTATGAAACAAATATTATGTCTATTTTACAGTTGAGGAAACTGAGACCTAGAAAGGTTAAATAATTTGCCCAAGGTCAAACAGTTTGTAAGGGGTAGAGCTAGGCTTCAAACATTTCATTTTCACAATATCCCGTGCTACCCATCTTATTGTTTGTTTGCTTATTTATATCCTCGACACTTTAAAAGTACCTTGCTTAATTATAATAAATTCACACATGAGTAAAACAAGGGAATTGTCATTGTTTGGTTTTTTTTCTTTTAAAAAGTAATATGGTAAAACACATTTGAATCATTTTTTTTCTTTTAAGGATGAACGTGAAGCCAGAGAAAATGTGAAGAGAGAACAAGATGAGGCCTATCGCCTTTCACTTGAGGCTGACCGAGCAAAGGTAGATCCAGTCAAGGGGCTTCTGGGATGAACTCAACCTAACTGACTCTGGGTGGTGAGCACACAGAGTGATACATAGATGATGTAGTGCAGAATTGTACACCTGAAACCTTTGTAACTTTGCTAATAATTGTCACCCCAGTAAACTTTTATTTAAAAAAAGAACTCAATCTAAATAGTCTTTCACTATTTAAGTGCCAGCCCTGTTATCACTTTGATCCCCAAGAATGTCTCCAAGTAGGTTTGCAATGGAGAAAGCTAGATTCAATTAACAGAAAGAATATAATTCTACCCCTGGCTCTTAGAAATATGGTTCATTTTGACAAGATAAAGTTTATTGAGAATCATGAAAGTGAAAACAAAAATGGGCCTAGTATCTTTTGTTTTTTAAATGAATCTGTGGTAAAACCTAGCAATTTTTTTCTTTTTTTATTATATTTATTGGGGTAACATTGGTTAGTAAAATTATATAGGTTTATAAGTGTACAATTCTATAAAACATCATTTATACTGGGGTGCCAAAAAAATTTTTGGCACCCTCTATATATTGCATTGTGTGTTCATCACCCAGAGTCAGTTCTCCTTTCATCACCATATATTTGATCCCTTTTACCTTCATCTACCACCCCCGTCCCCACTTTAGCCTCTGGTAACCACTAAACTGTTGTCTGTGTCTATGAAGTTTTGTTTGTTTGTTTTGTTCATTTGTTGCTTTCAGTTTTATATCCCACATATGAGTGAAGCCATATGGTTCTCGATTTTATATACACACACACACACACACACACACACACACAGCAGATTACTCGGCCGTAAGAAAAGATGAAATATTGCCATTTGCGACAACATAGATGGATCTTGAGATTATCATGCTAAGTGAAGTAAGTCAGACAGAACATGTAGCAATTTTTTAAAAAGTTGTTCAGGCGATTCTAATACACAGCCAGGGTGAGAAGCCCTGATTCATGTAATGCTTCTTGAGCCACCTGCTTTTGTACTTGGCATTGAAGGAGGGGAAAATGAATAAGCCACAGTTTCTGCCTCAAAAGAAGGTTCACAGTGTGGTGTAGAGTAGATTGAGTCAAGAACACAGATAGTTGTAACACTTAGGCAAGGTCCCTAAATGTCATAAATGAAGCACTAAGCTCTATGAGTTTAGTGAACAGAGTTTCAGTGGGAAGTTTTTCTAGCTTTTCTTGGAGAGCCGAGAAGTGGGAAAGCACTGGGGAGGGTTGCATAGAAGAGGATGTATACGTGAGCTGGATAAAGAGGCAGGAGAGAGGAAGTAATATGCTAGCAGCAAAGGGTCAGAAATCATGGGTGCTTGGCAGAGACTGAAGTGAACAGAGCATGATATTTGTGTACAGGAGACGTAGCAGAGAAGACCAGAACAGGGTTCTGAAGGATCTTGAATCCCACACTACCCAGAGCTACCCAGGTGTTTGCATAAGGACCCAACATGATCAGAGAGCTAAGCTTTGTTGTTGCTTTCATTTCCATTCTTGTTTCAAAGAGAAACACTTCCATTATCACAGTGTGCCTCTGGACCATGCTGGAAATGAGCTCTTTTTTTCCCTTTTCTTTATTTTTTTAAGTAAGCCAATGTTTACTGAGTGCCTACGCCCTTTCTCTTTTATCCACAGAGGGAAGCTCATGAGAGAGAGATGGCAGAACAGTTTCGTTTGGAGCAGATTCGCAAAGAACAAGAAGAAGAACGTGAGGTAAGGTATAATTTTTAGAAAAGTTATGCAAAACTTAGGTTTGTTTCCATTGCATTTGATACTGAAGCCGTTAATAGGTCTTACAACTTCTTTCCACTTTTCTCAGACTCATTTTAGTATGGAAGACATACCTTTCCTTAAAAGAATCATTCCTGATCTGTTGTATGGAACTCTTAGAAAACTTGACCTTGTACTAGATTTGTAGTTTTCTATTCTTTTCAGTTTCTTCCCCCTCTTCATGCCTAATAAATACTCCCATCTTTCCTGGATATTGTCTCACCCCAAGAATACAAGACTGTATTTTCAGCCTTTTTCCCAGTCTTCACTTTACCCACCAAAAGACACTGTGAGTTACTTTTACAGTATCTTGCACTGGGCCTCTAAATATGGGAAATCCATTTAGCTTGGATGATTTTCACCCTTGAGTTCATGTCCTGTCCATAACAACATAGAGAACTTTTCATTCATTCATTTTGCAAATGTTTTTTTGAATATGTAGTATGTGCCCAAAATCTGTTAAGGGGTAGGGATATCAACATGGGTCCTTCCCTCCAGCAGTTGTGAAAATCATATGGAATTACAATACCATATGTAAAGTTATTATAGAGATTTGCCTAAAGTGCAGTGAAAACAAAGAGAAGGGTGTCAAATGACTTCCAAGAGTGGCTTCCCAAAAAAGGACCTCTAAAACTTTTTTCTAGACATGGGATTAATAGCAAGATTCACTTATAAAAAGAGAAAGCCATCTAACAAGTGATGGAAAAACCTGGAAAGCCTTAACTTGGGCTGAGGAAACTCCATTAGTCATCATTCTCAGTCAGAGGATGTCACCTCGTACTTATTCAACAAATGTTTTTTGAAGAAGAACTGTGCTGAGCACTCAAAGAGAAACAAAGGATAATAAAACATTTTCTGCCTGCAAGAAGAGATTACAGTCTTATAGGGAAGAGGCAACGTGTCTACAAGTGATAGCAAATCAAGAAAAAATGTGCAAAATAACATGAGAAGTAAAAGCAAAATACTTAGAGATTTCAGGGGCAAAGTAAAAATCGGTTACAGCTTTGAGAATCAGACAACACAATAGAAGAAGTGATATTTGAGCCAGGTGTTGAAAGCTGTATAATATTTTACTGTGTGGAAATCAAAGTTTATTCATGTTCAAACACTTAATAAGTTCCTATCACAAGATAGGTACAAGATACCATGCCTGACAAACTCTAGTTCTGTATACGCTGAAGACTCAATTATAAAGGCTAGAAAATATTTCGTTGAGCATCTTCTGTGTTTCATGTGCTCTACTAGCTGCTTTACATATGCTTACTCATTGACCATTAAAACAAGCTGCAAGGTTAGAGATTTCCTTTACAAGTGAAAAAACTGAAGCTCATTGAGAAGTCGCATACAGAAATGAGAACAGCTAAGAATCTCACCTTGGTCTTGATGACTACAAAGCTCATGCTTTTTCACTTACTCGATTCCAGTACAAGGCCATATATCATTGTATGTGTCTACAGGAATCATGTATGTAGAGTTTCACAAAAGCTTGGATAAGAGAGATTTGTCACTTCGCTTTTAGGCTATTTCCAGAAATGTAGTTTAAAATTTTAGGACTCTCACTCTTTCATGCTCTTTCACACATGCTGTCTCTCTCTCTTAATAGTATATCTTCAACCATATACTTGCTAAATGTCAGGTGTGTACAGTTAACTGCATGTTTTGGATCCAGAGCTTGGTAACATATGTATTTTGATGACTTACCTTATTTACCCTGGGCTAAAATTATCTCTCTTTCCAAATACAGATAAAGCATGTTCTCTTATAGAAGGCTCTATAAACATCCTTTAGCATACCTCAGTATATGTTCCAGCTATAAACATGTGAGAGGATGGGGACGGGGAGGGAGAACAAGTCGTATTTTGCAATTAGTCATTATTTGCTCGTGACCATTGATTTGCTCCCAAAAAAACCAAGTTCAGATAGTGCTACATACTCTACAATTAAAGTCATAATTAAAGGCTCTTATAAACCCCACCATTAAGAAACTATTTCTCTTAATTTAATTCAGCCTTATCCAAGCTTATTTGACCCTTTTTTTCACGGAGCACCCGTTACCATATTTAGCACACTAGTGTACAGCAAACGACTCTGGGAAAAGCTGGTATTGTGCAACCTCTGAAGAAACCGAGACCCAGCGAGATTACACAGTTTGCCTGTGGTTGCCAAACTGGTTGGCACATAATCTGGACTAGAAGCCAGGTCACCTGCCTTTTCATAGTAACACTGCCTCCCCTTATACCTTGAAGTCCTAACCCGTATAATTGCATTGGGTAATAAAAGTGGTTTTATTATTTTATCTCTAGTATTTCAAAATCCTGTAGAAAAATGAAGTATTGGATAGTTCAGATCACCTTGGTGACAGGGAAATTCATTAGTGGTTGGCCTCATTTTGCTGTGTGGTAACTGTTGGAGTGAAATCAGTAAAATGTAGGAAGGCATTTTGATCTGGTCCTTGGCCATGATAAAGAGAAAGGCTTTAAGACTGTTCTGAGGGAAAAACAAAGAAATTACAACAAAAACCTCCCCAACTTTACTAATTTATATATTAACTTATCTTTTCCAAAATGAGTTTCAAGTAACTTACATAAATACTTGCAATTCAGATGGATTAAAAAGGAAGAAAACATAGTAATCAGTACAAGGGCAAATCCAGGAAAATAAAGGCAAAGGTGAGAGTCACATGTGGACAACAGGTAATCCAGCACAGGCACCAAATGCACGTGATAGAGGTCTGTCCATTTGCTCAGTGTGAGCACAAACTTTTTTCTGTGCTTCTCTTGGGTTAAAACAAAGGAAAATATGATTGTTTACAAGTTTCACTCTATGTGTAACAGCAGATAAAGGCCAGTCTCTCAAAAGGTGTTCACGTTTTTCAAGCACTGAGACCTTAGAGCAGTGTTTCCTGTGAGTCCCCTTCAAGAGGAAGCTGCAGTGTGGTGGATACTGTCTCCAGTTGTAGCCAGTAGCTGTAATAGCAATAGCAGGTTGTGTATAAAAGCTTCTTACAACTTTATGTAATTCAAAGTTGTAAGCCCAAGGCACAATTTAGTGAAAGCCTCTCTGCAAAGGCCCAAATAACATACTTTTCTGGTAGTCCAGTTTAAAGGATAGATTTTATAATAACCAGAGAAATATATGAACTACACACCCTTTAAGAAGTCCTTCCCGAACATTGTTTTTTGCCACTGAGTTTCTGATAAGTGGAGATGGTTTCAGCCAAGATTTTTGACTCTCGGGTCTTACACCAGGTTTCCTTGTTTTGTTACAAACCTAAAATAATGCAGATAAAAAACTGTGTTTATTGAGCAGACCAAATTGAAGCTTCACAATGGTGTTTACTAAGCTGCTATTTGAGTGTAGGTGTCCTTTATGTCATTATTTTTCACAACAGTGTTTACTTCAATGAGGCCTTTGCTTTTAGCCAGTATATTTGAAGCTGAGCTACTGATATAATTTTGGGTTTTTTCGCCAGTAAAACTTGGGTATTTAGATCCCATGATTGCCAACTTACCTAATATCTCTTCATTGTTTCTCACATTGGACCACTGGTGTAGGATATTTGAGGTCTGTTTTCATTTTGGGGAAAAGCCCTGGAGACTGGGTGCATTGAGGAGCAGACATTGTCTGCACAATGAATGGGGTAATGAGCTACTGTTGTTTATTCTTCTGTAGCATAATTGGTTGAGTTTAGACAATAATGTAGCATCTGTTGTTATGCTGTACAGGGAAATGTCAAAACAGACACCAAGCAGACAGGTGGATTAAGGGGAGAACAGAAGGAGAAACCAGAAAATATCACATTAAGTTCTGATTTAAAGTATGGGCAAAGGAATAATGATAATGATAACACCAAAAATGGCTGTCTCCTGTTGAGCACATTGTTTCAGCGTGAGGTTCGATGTTAGGTACTTCTTAATTGAGTGCCGGCCATGTGTTAACACTTGCTAAGTGTTTTATAAACATTACTGCATTTTATACAAGAATCTTTGTGAGAAAGATGTTATTGTCCCTATTTCTTATGTGAAGTAACCGAAGTTCATAAAGATTGTCATATGCTTAATGGCCAGGATTTGAATGTCTGTCGCACCCAAAGCCTATTTCCTAACTATGTATTTAATTACATTCCTAAATTACATTTAATTTAAAGATTAAAGTTTTTTAAACTGCAGTGTTAAAAGTCAGGATAGTGATTAGCTTTGAGGAAGGTAATTCTCAGGAAGGGGCCAAAGGACTTCTGAGATGCTTGACAGGTCGTTACTTATATAGGTAGGTTCACCTTCTGAAAATTTATCAGGTTGTACACTTAAGATTTGTGCACTTTTTCAAATGTAATATTTCAATAAAAATTTTAAAACAATGACAAAATATAAGACTTTTAACAAAATATAAAGCTTTATATAATATAACATTGATTCAAATATTGTAAAAATGTTTAAATATATATTTATATAAAAATATGCATGAAAAGTTAATGGAGAGTGTATATTTGGGGTGATGAAAAAGTTTTAGAAATAGATAGTGGTGATGGTAACACAATATTGTGAATGTACTTAATGCCACTGAATTATACACTGAAAAATGGTTAAAAAATTAGGAAGTAAACACTCAAATGATAGAAGTGGTCACCTCATGGTGGTGAATCTAGAAGTTAATTTTAGTTTTTCTTATCATTTAATCTGTTTTTTTTGCAATGAATTTTATTACTTTTATAATCAGGAATAATGTTCTTTAATCTCAAAGATAGGGTTTTAAAGAACCACCAGTGTTATAAATAGTTAAGTGATCCCATTTAATAGTTTAGAAAGTGTACATAACTGTAATACACAGAGGTAGTTTACCCCTACAAGCAACTCTTGATTAGCCCTTAAGGGACACATGTGTAGAAAATTAATCTGAACAGTTGATGCTGGAGGGAGTTAGACCTCAGAGAAAGGAAACTGAGAATGATCAATTCTCGGTTACTAGTAGAGACCTTGAGATTCAGATCTTTTAGCACCTATGTGTGTTTATCACCATAAGCACTTTCACATGCATCATTTTAGTTAACATGTGAGTTTATTTCACCTCTTATCACATGTTGAGCTTCTCTTTTGTGCTATGTGCTACAATTGAAGTAAGAAGTAAGACATGTTCCCACACCCCAACAGAGCTTACATGCTAGTGGGAAAGCCAGACATTAAACAAATAACTATGGTGCAGTATAGGGAATGCTACAACAGATATAGTACAACTGGGATTTCATTTTGATATACACAGGATCACCTGTTCATTGGGTTATTAATATTTGGCAATGTTACTAAAGTAGTTTAATATTTGAAAATATTCAGCTGAAACTCATTGCTGACCCAGAACACCAATATTAAATAAACTTCTGCTCATGCTATCCCCCCAAAAAAGGCAAAAGTAAACAGCTTAGCTGCCTATTCTTCTAACTTTTGAACTATATTTCTTATGTCTCCATTTCTGGATATTAATTTTCCCACATAAAAAAATGAGTGTAGGACTATTTAACCAGTGCAACCCAACCCAAACAACCGTTAACTGAAGCCTATTATACGTATGTCAGATACCACACTGGGAACTTTGCATACATCATATATATAATTTCCATCTTTATAATCCCCTATAAAGTAGGTGGTGTTATCCAGTGCCTCCAGAAGGAAGATGTCCTCAGAGTCCTAGGAAGGACTAGCTTTCTCTATACACAGCAGACATTTTTAATGCTTTTTTGAAAATACTTCGGTATTAGAACCAATCAAATTTTCCTGAGTGGCACAGAAATGAATTTCTTATTCATGTGGTATCTCAGTAAACTTTATTTTTCTGTTGGTTATTTTAAACACATTTTTTACATAAGTGAAAAGTCAAAAATATAAAAAGGCATATTCAGAAAATACTCACTGTCACTTCCACACTATTTCCCCCACCCTCTAGAGGTGACCATTTTTATGTGTGTCTTTTTATTTGTAGAAGTTTATTAATTTTTTCCCAAGGAACCAGCTTATATTGGTTAACTAGTTTTCTTTTTCTTTTTTCTTCTAATGTATTCCTTTATGCTTTTAGCTTCATTCATTATTTTATTTTCAACTTTCTTTTCCCATTTATTTTATCAGGGGTTTTTCCCTACTGTTTTTAGCTTCTTTTTTTTTTTTTTTAAAGTAGATGATTTTTTTAATAAAGATTTTATTTTTAAGGGCCGGCTGAGTGGCTCAGTTGGTTAAGAGCTCACTCAAGAGTGCGATCTCTGAGCAACAGCAGTTTGAATCCTGGCCCAAGCTGAGCTGCCAACAGGTGGTGGGATGGCTCAGCTAAAAAAAAAAAAAAAGAAGATTTTATTTTTACTGGGGAATTGGGGAAGGGGAACAGTGTTGGGAAATTGGAGAAAGGGAACAGCCAACTTGTTGTCCTTCAATCTTAGTTGTGGAGGGCACAGCTAGTTCAGCTCCAAGTCGAGTTGCCATCCGGCCGCCTGCTGGCAGCTCACGGCTGCTCAGCTCAAGGTGCCGTGTTCAATCTTAGTTGTGGGTGGGTGTAGCCCACCATCTCATGTGGGAGTCAAACCGGTAACCTTGTTGTTAGGAGCACGTGCTCACACCAGCTAAACCATCCTGCCACCTGTTGGCAGCTCAGCTGCAGCTTAGCTTGGGCACAGCATCACTGGCCCATGTGGGAATTGAACCAGTGACCCTTTTTCTCAGCTCATGATCTTAACCAGCTGAGCCACTCAGCTGGCCCTTTAGCTTAATTCTTAATTTGTTTGTTTTTATTCTTTCCTTTTGAATGATATAAGAATTTTGAGGCTGTGAATTTTCCTTTAAGTACTGCTTTATATGATTCCCATAGATTCCAACATGAAGAATTTCAACAATCATTATTTTTTTAAATATTCTGTAGTTTTGATTTATATTTCCCCTTTGACCTAAGAGCTGTTTAATAGGGTTTTTTTATGTTTTTCCCCCAGTTGGAAATGTGACACCAACTTTGAAAGTTGCCATTGAGGACTTAGCGAACATAAATACCAATTTCTCTCACTCATGTTACTTGATTGTAATAGTTGTAGATTAATTGGGGGAAATTTTGTTTTTCTATTCGGAACATTGAAATGTCAAAGTGACCAGGAACAGAATATAAATGTGAAGCTAAGTGTGCTAATACGAGGCTTATTCACCTACGGAATCTCCCAGAGTGCTAGAGACAAAAAAAGTGTGGTGAATTCCTGCCACAGATTCCCACATTAGAGGCCTTCTAACCTCCTTTCAATGGAGTATCATGAATGTGAAACAAAATAATACTGTAGGTTGAGAACTAAGAAACCTGGGTTCGAACACAACTCTGACCATGAGCTCCCCCAACAGTTTACTCCACCTATTTGAGTCTGCACTGTTACCTGTAACATGACGGGTTTGGGCCATCTCTAGGTCCAGAAATCTGGACTTGGCCAAATCCTACAGCAGGTCAGTGGCGAACACCATGGTCTCCTGCCTCCAATAAACTGGATATTTTCCTTTCTTTCCATTCTATTTTATTTCATTGTTTTTATTGTGGCAAAATATATATAACAAAAATTTGCCTTTTTAACCATTTTTAAGTGTACAATTCAGTGGCACTAACTGCATTCACTATGTTGTGAACCATCACCATATCTATTTCCAAAATTTTTCATCACCCCATACAGAATCTTTATTCTATAAACTCTGAAGTCATTTCTACTTAGGAAATGTGTGTTTTTCAAATGTAAATTGTGTGTGTGTGTGTGTGTATGTGTGTATGTGTGTGTATTGTAAATGCTTATAATAGCCTTAATTCATATCTAGAAAGAAAGCAGCTGGGTATTTGATACCTGTTTCCTCAATTACAAATACCCAAGCCCTTCCGTAAAAAAAAAAAAACAATTAAATTACCTTTCTTTACTATGGCGTTACCTATCAGTTTAATAATATGTGTCATCAAGGTGGGATTTATTTTAATTAATTGCCTGTTGGGCTAGTATTAAGAAAATGAAAAACACATGATTCTACTGTTCAAGCATTAGGCTTGGTTAATAAAAGGGCAATAATTTTTTGATGAGTTTCTAGAAAGCAGCAGCTTCTTTTTAGCCTCTCTCCCCCACTCCTCATGTCTCATCCATCACATAGTTTAACACCTGGTTCTTGCCCTCCTTAGGCCATTCGCCTCTCCTTAGAGCAGGCCCTGCCTCCAGAGCCAAAGGAAGAAGATGCTGAGCCCGTGAGCAAACTGCGGATCCGGACCCCCAGTGGCGAGTTCCTTGAGCGGCGTTTCTTGGCCAGCAATAAGCTCCAGATTGTCTTTGACTTTGTAGCTTCCAAAGGATTTCCATGGGACGAGTTCAAGTTACTGAGTACCTTTCCTAGGAGAGACGTAAGTTCCCATGCCTATCTTGGAAAGCATGTCCAGGTGGGAGATAACCCATCATTAGGGCCGGACAGAGTAGCCCAAGGAAAGACCCATGGTACATCCTGCTACAGGACCACTCACCCGGGAGTTCTTCATTGTTCTGCACACCATTCTCTCAGCCTTTGGAGAAGGTATGGCTGCCCAGGCCAGCAGACATGTACCAGTAGCCTATGTAAGAAATTAGGTACTAGGTCTTTCTTCCTTCCTACCTATTTCCCCTATTCCAGCTTTCATGCAGGTTTTCCCGAGATTTCATCTCTGTAAACCTCAGAGTAGATCTGAAAATTGTGTGCTTAATAGCTTAACAGCTAGATGAGGGTCAATGGTGATAGGTTTACTAAGAACGGGTCATGCTAAACCAAAAGTATTTGTGATTCAATAGTTCTTATTAGCCTGGGAAGTCAGGGAGGGTGACCTGTATTCACTGTGTATCTGTATTTCCGCAAGATATTTAATAGACGCTCATGGTATTCTGGATCCAAGCAGCGAGATAAATCTACAGTTATTTAGATTCATCGCTGATTACATTGCGTGTCCAGAATGTGCTAAGAGACTGCCCTCTCCCTAGAGGGAACCAACAGGTTCCGTATTTAGTTCTTGATTACTCACCATGCTTATTAGCAGCTTAAATAAAGACTTTATCAGATTTTATGGATTATGAAAAATAAGATTCAAGAAAACCTTAAAATACTAAAACAATAGACAAAAATGAGCCTAGACAGAAATATAAAGAGATAGAGAGATTTCCCACATTAGGTTTAGAAACTCAGTTGCTTTAGCTGAGGTTATGGTTGAATTAAGCTGAATATACATTTAATGTGTTATGGCTGCCAACAAAAAGCTAGCTGCATTTTTAGAGGTAAAATTCCATGATCCCAACAAGAAAAACTTGATGGTCCTATTCAGTTCTGTACTAAGAGAAAACTACCCCTGAAAGTTCCATGCTGAAACTCCATCCTGAAGCCTGAAGAAACGGGAACATGTCTAGAGCTGCGCTGGGAAGAAGGTTAGGGAATTAGAAACCATATCATTTGAGGAACATTTCTTCTAGAGAAGGAAAGGCCACAGGAGATGTGATTGTTGTCTTCAGCTACTTGAAGGCCTGCCATGAAAAAGGGGAATCTGACTTGGAAATAAGTCCAGAGAACTGGGACCCATGAGTTTAAAGTTATAGGAGGCAAATTTGGCCCAGTGTAAGAAAGCATTTTCTTAGAAAGGAGTATCTTGTGTTGTAAGGTAGTGATTTTCTTATCATTGGCGGTAACCCAATATTACTGAATGATCCCTTTTCAGCAATAATGCATATACCGGGGGTGCCAAACAAATGTATATACATTTTAAGAGATGTTATCTATGCTCAAGCAGTAGTTTGCCTTAATCAGAAATGTCTGAACGCTGATGGTAACCACTTTGAGCATCTCTGGTAATTGCAGAAGTCAAGCGTGACTTGTATTCATCTTTTGTTATTGGTATATATTGAGTATTACAATTAATAGTTTTTTTCCTTTCTTAAAATGTGTATACATTTTTTTGGCACCCTCTGTGTATATGGAGAAGGATTTATTCCTGGTGTTCCTACTTTATATGGGATGGGGTTTGGACGAGCTTACCTTTAAGATACATAGTAAATCTTAATATTCTGTGATTCCATTATGATCTAGTAATATGAGGTCTAGTAACTTGAACTTTATCTAACACACAAAGAGCAAGAATTTGGTTAAGGTTCATCTTAGTCCCTCAGATTTGCAGGATAGAGACAAAAGCCACCACTCAGCCACAAATCCCCGAGGTGGGCTAGGGAGCCTACCACTTACGTCTAAATCAGGGAGGCTAGAATGGATCCCCGATGCTGGCCATTGACCCCTCGCTCAATAGCCCTGGAGCTCTTCCTCTTTATTCATGTACTATAAGATGCACAAACACGCACAAGGGGGCACATGCATGCATGTGCTCTGTGGACCACACAGCCAGGTAAGAAGCTACCTTAAGTTCTGACACTGAAGTTGAACTCTAAATGTGTGAACGCTTGGAAAGGAGCCACTATCAGGGGGTTCAAGATCAGCCTGGCTCTCACACTTAACGTTCTATGATGAACATCTCACCTTGGAGAACTTAAAAAACTTAGGAGTTAAATTAGTCCTTCCCAACCCTTGTTTTGTTTTTTAATAGAGGTATAACTGACATATAACTTTATATTAGTTTCAGGTGTACAACATAATGATTTGATATTTGTGTACACTGTGAAATGATCACCACAATAAGTCTAGTCAACATCTGTCACCATACATAGGTACTAAATTTTTTTTTCTTGTGATGAGAACTTTTAAGATCTCAGCCCTTGGTTTTTTTCACTCCCTTTCTGGGTTTTATCTGTAAAATGGAAATACTGGAAGAGATGGAATCTAAGGAGTTTCCTGGCTTTCAAAATTAAACTTTCTTTTCTTTCAAATTAATTTTTAAACCTGACTACTAGAGGTGGGGTGGGAGGAGCAATCTCTTAAAGGATCTGAGTTTTATGATCAGTATTAATGACGTTTTCCCACAGGGTAAAAATGTGGACTGTGGAAAGTTAATGTTGTAAATAAGCAGAGGAACTGTGAAGTGAAATGCAGAGGGTTCTTGAACTCTGCTGATCAAGAATTTAGCCTTTTCAGTGCAGGCTGTGTTAAGTGTCAGTATGGATTAGCCCTAAATGGAGGGTCAGTCACTTAGAGAAAATTGACTCTTAATTTAGATCTCAATCATGCACCCTTTGTTACACTGCTGAAGAACACTATTCAGTCTGGTTAACGGTCTCTTCTCCCAGTTTCCCTTTCACACCTGATCCCATTTCTATCCCCATCCCCCTCCCAAGGCCAATTTAGATTAAGCTTGGCCTAGAGAAAAACTCTAACCAAAGGTTTGTTCTTATAGGAGAAATCAAGAGCTTCCCAATACCTATCACAGGTCCATTTTATGGTCTTTGGTCAACCTGAAATTATCTGCCACTGAGTGATTTTTCTAAAATCTCACTTTGATCATCCCATTTCTTGTTTAAAAACTCTTCAACAGCTCCCGACTGCCCTAGGATAAGTACAGACCCCTAGAATGTTTTCAAAAATTCTTCACAATCTGGTCCATGCCTACCTTTCCCACCTTAAATCCTGCCTCTCATGACTTATTTCCATCACCAGGAGATAGGAGAATGCTCACTATTTACTGAAGACACAAGAGACTTCCATGCCTCTGTGCTTTTTCATACTCTGTTCTCTCTTCCCTGCATATCCACACTCCCCACTTTTCTTGGCCTGTTTGAACTCATCTTTTAATGCCCAGATCAAATGTCATCCTCTCTGGGAAGTCCTCCCCTTCCCCCAAGCTCCTCACTTATGTACCAACTGCAGTTCGTACATTCCTCTCTCATAGCACTTGCCCTGTTGTGCTATAATTACAGAGACTGTCCATATCATTTTCATGTCTATCTCCTCAAAAGTTCCCAGCGTGGTGGTGTCTCACCTATTAAGCATTCAGTTACTGTTGTCAAATGTTAATGACCTCAGGTCTGATCCTAAATCTCTGATTCCCGAGTGAACTAGAGAGGCTGTTCCAAATAAGAACAGATGCCCTAGGCCCACCCAGATTCCAGACCCAGACCTAAGCCCAGAAAGCCCACCCAGGACTCATTAGACCTCCTAGAGCCGGGGTGGGGTGAGAGTTAATGGCCCTTCATCCTTCTCTGAATGCTCTTTCAAGTCGAATAACTAGTGTTTTTGCAAGGCTATTCTGTAACAGCCATCTGTGTCTGCAAGGATTAGGATCTAATTTGTAAAAGTCATCTTAAATTACAACTAAACTAAAGACTGTTAAAAAGCACATCTTAAGACCTCACCTCTTTAATAACAAATAACATAAGACTCAACTCTAGGAGTCGTATTGTGTCTTCCGTCTTTTCTCCACAAAGCAGAGACTGGTTTCTCACCAAAGGACTTGTTAAATGTTCTTCTGCCCCCCTCCCCCCAACCCAAACAATAGTTCGTGGTAAGATTTCCCAGCTGTCCAACTGTTTACTAACTGTCTGGTGGGTGCACCGCTGAACCAAGCGCTGTGGGACGAGCAAAATAGCAGCAGACGCAGGCCTTCCCTAGAAAAGCTGATTGTCAGGATGCTGGGAACGCTGAATTATTTGTTTGTTTTTGTTATTTTTCTCTTTTTTTTTTTGCTAATAACAGTTACCAAGAGAAGAAATAGTTCTCGCTTGCAGAGCTTTGGTCTCAGCTCCTCCTCTCGGGTGTGTCAGAGCCATGTGAACACTGAGGCCCGTTTGCCTTACCTGGGCATTGCAAGGTAGCTGCTAGTGAGGTACTTGAGTCCCAAAAGCTAAGGACTGACACTGACCCCCACTGCTACTCACCCTGCCTCGGAGTCAGAGTAAGGGGCCCCCGCCAGCCCCCCAGTTCCTCTCTGGACCTACAGTGGTCCATTGCCACTCAGTGTGAGGTTGTCAGTATCCCCCAGCCTTCCTCTTCCCTTTTCTCTCCTCCTCCTCTTCCCATCCTTCCCCTTCTTTCCGATCCTATTTTACCTTTTTTATCCTTTTCCCCTTCTTTCTACTCGTCCTTCCTCATTCTTTTATCCCACAGTTTTCCTTCCTGCCTCCTCCATTTTCCTTCTTTTGCCTACTGGTATCTACATCACTCAGAGAAGCTCCACCTACAACAGGAAAGTGAGGTCTTTCTATTTATAAAATAATTGGAGAACACTGGGAAAGGAGGATAGAAATGGCCGGTTGGCTTCAAGACTGGCGGCATGTGTGCCTGGTCACTTATGTAATCACACAGCCCCTGTTCTTGCCCCGAGAACATTTCTTCTCCGGATCTGTAGATGTGAACCCCCC